GAAGGGTTAAAAAAAGAAAAGAATTCTGCAAAGACTTGCAGCTACAGCTGAATGTTTTATGTTTACATGTTTGCATGTTTTACCTGAAATGCCATGGAGTTGCCAAGAGCGAGGAAGACTCGCAGGGGAACAGAGGCCTTGTAGGACCTGTGGCTCCACAATCTGTGTGCACCAGCAGTCACACCAAGAGCACTTATCATGTAGCACACGGCAGCTGGAAAGACAGAGAGAGGTATCTTACAGGGAAACTGCGCTACATCAAGATACATTTTACACCCATAAAAGCTGACTCACTAGGCTACCATATTGTTTTTCATAACCCTCTGCTTCTTTAGAGAAACACTGGGAGTGTGCAACTCAGCCCTCACACTTTGGCTGTTAGAAAACTGATGAACGCATGTCTCTGTGAGGCCTAGACAGGACTAGCCAGGATCTGAGAACTGGGGGCTGACTGGCAACAAGCATTCTGCTGCAATGCCTCACAATGGGATGTCTTGAGTGGAAGTGATTGTGCTTTGTCTTCTGTGAAACAATATGCAACTAAGCCTGGAAAAGACGGCAAAAAAAGAGAGAAAGAAAAAAATACGCAGAGCCAGAGTAGAAACAGAGTAGAGATTGTTGGGGGACTTGAGTCACGCCACAACAGTCCTCATATATAGGTCACAAATTAATCAGCAAACTGTTTGGACGACAGAAATTAAAATATTTCTAATTCGAGACATTCCAGAAGCACCGGGATTGGACTGCTATAGAAAATGTGGAGGGAATCTTTCAGATTTGCGCAGTGAAGATTTTTCAATCATCCGGTGTACCCTGTATGAATTTTCTTATGCCAACCTTGAGAAACTTTTGTCTGAAATATTTTTTTAGCTTTGAAACAAAAAAGAATAGAAGATATTACAACTTGGGCTCAAATGAGGAAGAAAATTAAATGCAGATTTGGTGTCTTCACCCCAAAGCCACAAATATACAGATTTATCTCAAGTGTATCACAGTCTCAAGCATTTTGGAAAAGTATTTTGCAGTGTGCTGAAAACTGAAGAAAATTCATCCAAATCAATGGTGCAAACACCACTGGTTGGTCAGTCATGGATTATCCAGTACTGCTTCATTTTCATGGAGGTATGCTACAAAGGAAGGAAACATACAATGGCCACTAGCAGTGCTGTGTCGGTGCTTCTTCACAAGGGATAGGGAAGCTTTCCAGAGTTGAAAAGAGTATGTTTAAAAACCATATAGAAAAACAATATAGAGATTATTTATTAAAGTTACAGCCTGTAGAAAAACACTTTATAGTGGGTCGGTGGTGTACCTTCCAGCAGGACCTTGACCCCACACACAATCAGATCAACAATAAACCGGTTTAGATCAAGTCATTTTTATTTTCTGGAATGCCCCAGTCAAAGTCCAGACCTACATTTAGTGCATAGCATGCTAAATTCATCTATCAGACACAAAGATGTCAGCATGTATTGTTTTGAAGACCTATTGTTGATCCAGAGCCATGCTACAAATGAAAGTTATCCTTAGGAAAACTGTGTCTCACAATTTGTGCCTGTACTCGCTCTTTGTTTGAGTTCAGGCTCAAACAAAGGAGAGTCCACTTCCCATGGGGCCCAAAATGTATCCTGAATGTTTTGGTTAGGCCTCCAAAAATCTACAATGATTCAGTTTAGTTTCTATGCACCAAGCCAAAACTGGGTCAAAACAACAAAGATCTATCTCTCGTCCTCCAACCATAGTCTTCCATATAGATATTATTTATTAAAATTAATTTAAGATAGGCTCAATCAGTTGCAACCTTTATTCCCTTTTCACTTTAATGTCCTGCACCAGACAGCAAATTCTATCACCCATTTATAACACCTTAGAAAACTTTCCAAAGAAGTAGCCTATAGCTGTAACATCATGAGGCGTAAATGTGATTGTCTTTATATTTGGAAATAGATTATATTAGCTATATTTAGTCAAGGTGCCATTTAACTGAAAATGAAATTGATTATAGAAATGGATGTTATATATATAAACACCATCAGTGGGTTGAAGCCCTTCATACAGGCCCTCTCATTAAAATTAGGCCAGAGTGACTCATTCTCCATTATTCCCACAGGCTTGATCCCCTCAGGCAGTGTGCTCTGTGGTTCGCAGTGCTCACACAGCATCAGCGCATTCTATTCAGGCAGAAATCAGCAAATACTCACTCCATCCAAGAGTTAACCACGATGCGGAAGGGACTAGAGCCAGTCCATAAAGCGCTCCGACATGCAGGACACCCATCAGGATGATGTTTCTCCACACCAGGATCCTGGGCGGCTTCTTCCCCTCCTTCTCTCTGTAGGTGTCGTCAAAAACGTCGTCCACGGTCGACGTCTCCGCCATGGCGTTTCCGTTCTGCTGCTTGTCGGCGCGATGAATCCCGGTTTCGGTCATGTTTCTGCAGCGGCGGGGAAAGCACAGCGCGAACAGAACAAGGGGACCGTGTTACTCCGTCTGATGCGCTGCGCAGCGTGATGCGGGGAGAGGGGAGACAGGGGAGAGGACGGCGCGGCGGCTGGCAGCTGCGCTCATGCGCTCCTGCAGCTCCTGCAGCTCCTGCAGCGCCCACAGCGGGCAGCTGCAGCTGGACGCGCAGCCGCCAACGGGAACGTTCTCGTTGCACTCAATGTTTTTCTGCCTGATTATTATGAACGACCTGCCCGTCTACTTAGAAGTAGATTTTTATGTCATTTTTGCCAGTTTGCTCTGATGTTTTTTTATTTTATTATTCATCAATTTCACTTGAATCTTTCCTTATATTTTTGTAATATTTTGCACTAGTCATCCGTCAGCTCAGGAAATGTATAATTTATATTTATTGGCACATCAAACAAAAATGTGTAAAAAAAGGTGTAGATCATCCTCCCACCTGTTACTTTAATGTTATGTTCTCTTGTTTTTCCCATACAGAAGAGTGGCTAATAAGAAGTGGGTCACATTTATTCAAGAGGGAAATAGAAATGTATGGCTTGATCATTTAAAACTTTGTTTTTTTGTTGTTTTTTTTTTCTTGCCTTATGGAGATCAACAGGCATCTGTCTTACTTAAACAGGATGTTTTCCTTAAGATCAACACAAAACAGAAAACAAGCACTGTACATGTCAGTGTCTCTCCCTAGTAAATATATTTTTAACATTTCCATTGGAATTCACAGTAGATAGGTGTGGAAACTAAAGCAGTCCATTGACTCCCTGGTTCAGGGATTTAAAAAAAAAAGAAGCATAAAAGCCAAGAAATAAACTGAGATCTGTCAGCATCTAGAAAACTCTCCCACTTGTATGTGCTAATTTCCCAACCGTGGTCCTCAGGCACACTGTCCTACATGTTTCAGAGGTTTCCCTGGTTTAATGTGCTGATTCAGCTGACTGCAGTTCAACAAACACCTGTTAATCAGTCATCAATTCAAATCAGCTGGACTGAAGCATGGAGATACCTAAAATATGTAGGGCACTGTGCCTTGAGGACCAGGGTCGGGAAACACTATCTGACTCAATATTAACGGAAGAGACATTCACAAAAAAAAAAAGTATTTTGCCACAATTTTTTTCTTTCCAGAAAGTTTGGAGAATAATGAGCGACAGAGAAAACAAACATTCAGACTCAAGTTCATTGATAAGACACATATTTCAGAGCAATTATTAGAACAATAGAAATTGCTGTTAACATGATTGCAATTGGAGAAACTTCTTACCGTTTGTTCTTCTTGCACCAGGTCAGACGTATGCAACAGTGATAGATGCAACTCTTCTCTTGGCCTGAGGTGGTTTTAAAGCAACATCCTGCTGTAGATGTGTCAGCAGGTAAGCATTCTATTGGCTGTTTGCTTCACCAATGTTTAACTATTTTTCCCCCTCCAACTGAATCTTTATATAACGTGGAGCTCTTACCCAATCTTCTCGAGCATCTCAGTCTGATGTTGTCAGAATTAATCATTGCAAGAGGTTGCAAACAAAGGTCTTCCATGTCACACCATGATGTCATCCAGCAATGAGTTCTGGTTTTGGATAGCATGATAGCATACCTGTGCAATTTATCCCGCTTCACAGATCAATTTGGATTTTTTTTTCTTTTTGCAAAAATAAAGTTCAGAAATGTTTTGCTGGGATACATGGGGAATGTGGAAAACTCATTTCGGTTCCATTTGGTTTACCTTCCAGTTGAACTTAAAATAGTTAGTATAAACCTTGCAACCAAGATAAAAAAAAAATAAAAATACACATTGCCTTGCATGATGCAACTTAAAAACAATCCAAAGAAATACATCCTTAAATGCTAAACCTTGCAAAGGTTCTCTAGACCTTGACTTATTCTGAACCTTTACTCTGCCAGTGCTCATACAAACTTCAAAAAGTCCCTTTCCATGTCCTTTTTCCATGTGCAGACACTGAAAACATTCATCCAGCAAAACTAGGCAACTTTAGTTCAGAAACATGACCTCAGATAAACGAAGGTAACCTCTGGAGAGCACATCTTGCCGTCCTACTGTACCCTGCTTGTGTTCTGACCTTAGGTGAACTGGAGTACCTGGGATGCGCTCATAATCATGAATCAGATGATTTATGTGAGTCTTGTGACTGAAAAAAATCTAAAGAGGTAATGGCACCCTCTATTGTATAAATGTGGGTACTGCCTGTCTGAAGCAGAGTTCAATGCCATTTTATTCCCTTTATTTTGTATTTGCTGCTAATGCTGCATCAGTGAGGCTAAAGGAAAACAAGACATTAAAAGTTATATCAGCTTTACGTTTTGTTAACTGCATTACTGTTAGTTGCATGAGCATAACCACGTATGGAGAAGCAGCGTTCAGTTTCAATTAACCACAAATCTGGAACAAACTTCCAAAAAACTGCTAAACAACCGAAACATTGAGTTTGTTTAAATCAAGAATAAAAACTCACCTGTTTTTAGCCTGAATATTAGCTGATACAACATGAATATGAATATTGCAAGTTATATCACAAATATGAGATGAAAAACCTAAACAATAGGTTCATTTTTATTTTATGTCTGTCTACCAGTTTTGAAGCTTGGGCTAGAAATAAGAAGGAAATCCACCGTACTTGTCTTTGCTTACATGTGCAAGAAAACCAAATCAATGAGCAAACATGATAATGTCTTCATTTAAAAACATAATAACTTAAAGCATCTTTGCATCACCACACAGTTCTGAAAACATACATATTAAAATAATGTAGCATTAAATTAATCTGCCATAATCTAGCATTAATCAACTCCAGTCAGGCTAGTTAAGACAGGAAGTACAAAACAATGACACGCGCTACCTCTCAAACAGAAGCACCAGTTCACAATGAGGAGTATGTGGGAACATGTCCACAGGGACAGCCAGAGTGGGAGAAAAAGCGTCTCCTGTGAGCTTCTTTTCTTGATTAGGAGCACAGCAAAGCTCCTTGAAGTTCCTCATCGCCTCTCCATCCGGCTTACAGGACACATAGATCAGTCTGCGAATAGCCGCTTGGTTTCTCAGCGCTCTGACTACTTTGGGATGGAGGCCCGCTCGAGACGGATTCACCACGGCGGTAAGGGCTCCTGTTGCAGAGCTCAACTGAGACATGAGAGCAGGGAGCACCACCTCTGCTTTACCAGGGAGAAACTCACAGTTTTCTACGTTATTGAGAGCAGCGTTGTGGGCGGCATCTCTCACCGCCTGCTCTACGATCTCAACGCCGATGACCCTGTCCACTCTGGGAGAAGAGATGATGCCGATGGTGCCTGTGCCGCAGCACACGTCGAGCAAAGTGCTTCCTGTTTTTGATTGTGCTGCTTCTGGGACACACAGGTCTCTGACCGTGTTGTACAGCACCTGAGCAGCTGCCTGGTTCACCTGGAAGAAAGCATCGGCAGATATGCGGAACTTGAAGCCCAGGACCTGCAAAAGACATTCAAGAACAGATACACATCAGATCGGCCATACTTTCTCTTCAGTGTTTAATAAGTAGAAGAGAACCTTTGAGTCGAAATGTGGCCTGCGATCTAAATGTGTAGAGTCATAAGTTTTCTGCAGCAGCCATAGTTGAATTTTGAAGCCTGATAAAAGAATTTTCTGTTTCCTCAATAAAATGTTATAATGGATTTATTGCTCAGTTCAAAGTCCACCAGTGTGTAATTGGTTATATAGTAGAGACACCTGCCAAATCATCAAGCAAGGATGCTAATGTCATGATGAAATAAGATGTCCATTTGAGGTTTAAGTACAATCATCTTGTACTTAATTTAATAAAAATAAACATCTTTAATTTTGTGCCTTGAGCGTTTTGTACAACTTTCACAAAATGACAAAGTTAAAAAAATTAGTGTACATATTTAAGTTTTATGGGGTAACAAAATCTGAGTTAATATGCATTATATACATATCCAGACTGCTCAGGAAATATATTTAATGATTTTCTCAAGTATTTCCTTCTCTATAACAGTTTGACCAGGAGTTATTTTCCAATCACTTCACCATTATGTGACACTCATATAATCTCCCATTACAACATGTTTCAGTTGGGTGTTGTAAACGTGCCAACATGTGGAAAGTTCAGGGGTTATGAATACTTCTGAAAGGAACCGCAGAGTTTGAGGAGTAAACTTCCAGACTCTGGGTAAATAGAGAATATCTCACCTCCTCATATAAATATGGCTGACCGTGCAGCAGCTGGTAGGGAGATTCCTCATGCGTGCAGCGAGTCATGGTGCTTTCCTGGAAGAACAGGGAGTCGAGCTGACAGACTGATCCAGGACCCCTTGAGAAATACTCCACCAGCTCAGCCTTATGAACAGCCACTTCCTCTGCGCTCATCATCTGTGGGTGGAAATACACTATGGCCATGGTGTGTCCCTGCACATTGGTCCTCACCGTGACCTCCCTCCAATGACCCCCGATGTGGAACAGCAGGCAGGGCTCCAGAGAGGATTGGCGGATGAAGTCCTGGTAACATCTGGCCACCAGTGTGTGCTTCTCCGGCATGTTGAGCAGGTGATCTCCGTTCACACAGACAATGCTTCCCCGACTGGCCGTTCCTAGGTAAAATCCAACTGTTTTTGGATTCCCATCCACTCCTCTGTTGACAGAAAACGTGGATTTGTTGCGGTAGCCATCCCTGACTGGGGAGGGCAGGACAGGCAGGAGAGGGAAGTTGAGTTTAGGTGCAGGTGAACCTGACCTGAGATCAGCTGAAAGAGATCCTGAGAGTTCAGACAGGATCCTCCGATGATTGTCCTGCTTGAGCTCCAGCTGCTCCTCATAGCTCAGCCTCCAGAGAGGAGTGACCGCATTGGCCAGCCTCTCCTCCCAGGACAGGTCGTCTGTCCAAGCCGCTTTCTTCTGCCGCCTTCTCCACTGTTTCTGTGACCCCGAGCCCGCTCTCCCTGCGTCAGCCGGACTAACGCCGGTGGAAAACAGCACGCAGGATCTCCTCAAATACAATACATTTGGTCTGACCGCCATGACTGACCTGCAGCATTTCGCGGTTAGAGACATGTTTCCGAGAAAAAGAAATGCGAGACTATGACACAATGAAAGTGCAACACTCACAACAAGCACTGCATGACACTCTCGGGAGCTCGAAAAACACGCTTCAGATCTACACTAACTTTCTTGTATGAAAGTCACCTTTCGGCGCTTTTAACGCCACCTGCTGGATTGGAGTGTGAACGATGAGCAAAAAAACGGAAAACATCTGTTTCTCCTGGTAAAATAATCTTACGTTGTTAAATTAAAGAGACTCCAACTCTAATTTATCATCAGCATTTCTTTAGACATAAATATAACTAGCCCAATGTATATTTGAATTTCCTTTGTATTTTTTCCTTTAAAATTCGCATATGCCTATGCAAGATTTTTTCAAACTAGTATTGATACGCTCCATTTATCTGTTTCTTGTAACATGCAAGAAATAGAAAATACCCACATTCACCATATTAAAAGGTGGGGGAAAAAATGTGACATGGGCATCAGTGATGAAACCTTTTTGTCCTTTTAAAAAAACAACAATTGTTTTGATGGTTCATTTTGCTGCAGCTAATTTGATTACCCTTAATCAATCTAAAGCACTTATGAACACTTAATTTAATATATTTATCACATTTGATATTGTGTCAGCTAGAATTTTGTTTAAAAAATGCTTTATTTATTAATGCAATAAATTAATTCATGCGTTAATTTATTGATTTTTATTATCTAACTAAAAAAAACTCCATTGTGGAATAAACAACGTTTTGTTACGTGTATTTTGCCAGACCGGACGTGAGTCGACGTCATTTCTTTGCGTCCCGGGGCAAGTAAACATTTCCGCTGTGTCGCGATGGACTCAAACAAGGACGAAGCGGAACGTTGCATTAAAATAGCATTAAATGCGGTCGGTAATAATCAGCTGGACAAAGCCAGAAAGTTTCTGGAGAAGGCTCAGCGCCTGTTTCCAACAGATAAGGCCAAAAGTAAGTCGAATAAACTCCTGTTTGCTAGCGATGCTGTCTAATGTGGAGGGCCAGAGCTAGGAGACCGAACAAGCTAATGCTAACATAGCCGTCAGTAATAGATACAGGCCGTAACTGGTACTTGTAGTTTTTTTTAAGCCACCACCAATTTCTTATTTAATATGTTTACTTGTTTATGACCTTAAATCGGGCTTAACTTACTCAGTGCCGGTGCTGAAGTTCCCTGTAACGGTAACGATGCTAAATGTTAGCGTACTAAAGCAGCGGATTAACTCAAAAGGCAGTATTGAAACGACAGTATAATGGTAATTTGCGCCCTCTTGCAGACCTGTTGGAGTCTTTAGCGCAGAATGGGAAGCCTCCAGACGAGAACGGCAGTGCTGTAAACGGAGGTGGACCCGGCCTGAGACACCGCGGCGAGAGAGACGGAGCTAATGCGTCTCAGGGCCCCGCGGAGTCCGACAAATCTTACACAGCAGAGCAGCTGGAGGCGGTCAGAAAGTGAGAGCACATTCATTTTTTTTTCTTTCTGATGTGTGTCGTTGTCTTAATCACAAGCTGCCTGGTCATATATTGACATGTATGTTGACAAATGTGCAGCGTTTATTCTCGTGTTAGTGATTTACAATGTTGAACTCCATTTCCTGGTGAATAAGCGATAGTTTTTTGCAAAAGAGTTGTGATTCAGATCAAACCTTTTCATCTGATCATGTATGTAGAAGAAAAATTGGACAGAATTTATAGAGTGCCTTTTCCATTCATACCGACCTATCTATGCCCTTTACACTACAGGCATATTCACCCGTTCCCACACACACATTTTTACACAAAGTGGCAGATCAGTAGGCATCTTGGGGTTCAGTTCCTTGTTCAGGGGCACATGGACATAAGATCGGAGAGTTGGAAATCAAATCCCCAACTTTCCAATTGTAAGACTACCACTCAGCCACAGTTTCCCAAATTAAACTTACAAGTGTTTAAATAGTTTTAAATATTGGATGATTTAGTTCTTCAGTTCACTCTGAAACATCTGAATGGTTGGGATCCTAAAGCACAAAACATCACAAAAAAATGCTTAACATTCTTTAAAAAAAGATCTGTCTGTATATTTAGTGGTTTAAAAAAAAAAGAAAGAAGTAAATCTTAAACATTTAGAGGACACAGGAGAGACCCTAATTGTGGTTTTAATTCAATTCTAAAATATGTTTTTAATCCCAAATGACAATTAATTAAGGTTTGCTGGTACTGGGACACGTTTTTGTTTTGGACTCAGAATGCTGTTTAACAGTTGCAGAACTGGAGGACTGAGCTTTGAGAGCTGAGAGAAGCTGACACCCGTCCCACATCAAAGAATCCAGCAAATAGTCTGAGTGGTTAGTGTTCTGTTTGTGCAGGTTTGTTGAGAAATGTATATGTAAAAAATACATACTTTTTAATATTACAATTACTACAAATATTGAGTATGACTTAAAAATTCACTAGAGAACAGTGCAACTCATGTAACAGCATACATTTTGTGTCAGTTGGTCACACGGCAAGATATCTATTTACATTTGTTTCTTAGGAGTGCTTGCTTGGGAAATTTGTTGACATTCCCTAAGTGAACCTCCAAGCGCTTGAGGAGGGAGCGGCAGAGAACGGCTGGCCGAAATTAGCGTAAATAAGTTGGATGAACCTTGAGACAGGCACTGCTCACTGCACGGAGCGCGAATATCCAATATCCAACTTGAAAACAAGTTCGCTGCAGTAGTTTTACTGGCACAAATCTATACAGAGTGCTCATAAAGTAGTCCACTTTGGTTTGTTTTGGAGCAAGATGGTGAACTCTGGATGACCTAAAAAAATCATTTTAATATCTCAGAAACCAAAGCTACACAAACAAAAAATTTAACTCTGACTATTTGCTGGATTTTTTTTGACATGGGTGGGGTGTCAACTTCACATAGCTGAGTTAGAGACCTCTAATCATTTTTCAAAATTTTAGTTAAGATATTATATTGAGTGTGTCCTATCTATTTCGATAACTTAACACTATTTTGTTATTTAAGTTTTCCTCATCTGTTACCTTGGCTCTAGGCAGTGGAATGTATTAACTTCTCAAATGTTTCTAAATAAAATGAGGAGATGATGGAAATTAACACTGAGCTGAGACTCGGCTTCTATTCACACCCAATGAAAACCTATGAACTAACTGTGAACATAATTCTTATTGTTTTTTTTTTTTCCTTAATCAGCTCTACTCTGTGCAAAGTCAAATATTATCTATTCAGTGACCAGGTCAAGACAGCCAGATTGCTTGTCCCAAATCATAGGTTTTACTGTCAGCTAAATTATTCTTTGCAACATCCCAGTATAAATTTTCCAATGGTAACTGAAGTGTGTTCCCAGAGTGGTTGCAACACCCCTTGTGGTGGCCTTAGTCCATTGAGGTGCTTTGTCCCTGACCGCTGCACTTTTCCTTTCTTTTCTTTTGTTTGTTTCAAAGTAAATTCTGTTCATGTTGTAACAGAGACTTTTATGTTTAATTTAGGATTAAGAGCTGTAAAGATTACTACCAAATTCTGGGAGTGGAAAAGTCAGCTTCTGAGGAGGACCTTAAGAAGGCCTACAGGAAGCTCGCCCTGAAATTTCACCCTGATAAAAATCATGCGCCCGGAGCTACGGAGGCTTTCAAAGGTAAGCTACGTGTCTCCATGTGTTTTCTGTGCCGTTTCTGCAAACTTGTAATAACAATTGCTCTGTGTGTCTCTTTCAGCCATTGGCAACGCCTACGCTGTTCTAAGTAACGCTGAAAAACGAAGACAGTATGATCAGTATGGGGAGGAGCAAGCACAACCAAGCAGACACAGACATCATCACGATTTTGAAGCAGACATTTCTCCTGAGGACCTTTTTAACATGTTCTTTGGTGGAGGCTTCCCAACAAGTGAGTGGAGGCAAAATCATATTAACAACATGCAAGGGATGTTCAGTTCTGCTTCTAAATTCATTGTGTTCTCTGGTAGTGGGGTATTACAACTAAACAGTTCCAAAAACATGTTTTTGAACACGTTTCTTCCCCGTAAAAACTATGTCCGTTTGGCACTAGACGTCTCTCAGTACATAATAAGAACTTGCTTACACTCACTAATGACACATGGTGACAGCTCTAAGTGCAGGTGTTATGGCTGTGCTGCACAGTCAAACTCTACCCCGCAATAAACAGCTCATGTTTTTAAGTTCAAAGGTTGTTTTTGTATTTGGATGCTCTTCCAAGAAATATCTCAAAGTGAAATCAAATCAAGTGAGACTATATGTGTCATTCTTTATAAAAAATTTAAAAAAAGTCTGTCTAAAGCTATCATCACATTGGTTTAAATCAGTACATTTGAACAAACCTATTGTGGTCGGTGGAGTTTAGGATTTTAGTTAAATAGCAGCAAACTTGCTGAAGTGCTGTAGAACTGCTGGTTATATTTCCTGTTTGTTTCCTGATTTGCATAGTAGAGCATTAACGTCTGACAGAATCACACATGGTCACTGGTATGATGGCCCCTTTTAAGGGATATAACATATCGCTTGACTTCTAGTAATATTACGCTAGAGTTTATTTTTGATCTTTTTTGAAGCAATTCTTCTTTTACAAATATATATATTTTGTAACGTAATGACAGCTCAGAGATTTGGTACAACTTTGCTGCATGATTCAGCCTGTCACAATAAGCGATAAATCAAATTACGCCATTCTCCTCCTGTCTGTCTTTCTACCAGACTACGTGATAAAAGGCTTTGCTCTGGTGCATGAGTCTTGACTGACTCTTCCTCTTATTGCCTTAGCTGTGAACTCTTGCATCAGGCTCCTGGTCCGATAGCATGAGACTCCTGCAAGGAGTAGCAAGTCAGAGAAATTCGTATTGAGTTTTTCATGTGCAGTGTTCTGTTGTTAGTTTGCACTTGTTGTTTACAAAAGTCCTAACTGGCAGTTTTGCCTATTTTCTCCATCTGAGACCAATGATTAATGTTTTTCTATGGGACATTTTGTTTTCAGAGACTTAATAATCAATTTTATTTCTTGTTTTGGTTGTGTGGAGGTTTTTATTTCAGTTTCATTGATTTATTTATGTTGTTTTGTTTAGATCTTTTGGATATTAAAAATGTCTTCCAGTGCTAGCATCACATATTTTAGAAATTATGGTTTTGTTGATCTTTGAGAGGATGTATTTGCTTTATAATGCTATTGCCATTATGTTAGTTGAAATTGTCTCAAAATAGCAAAATTATCATCTATTTCAATAATTTGTGGGAGAATTTAACGTCAAGCAAACTTTATCATTACTGGCCTGTTCTGTTTTGATACATATTTAAAGTATAATGACTGGTTGGCCTACTGTTCTGCTGTATGCATGTGTTCTGCAGAATACATGTGCAGGATGTTCTGCATATACAACAAAATACTAAATATGCAATGCAGTATTTCACTCAAATCAGTAAAACCAAAAGTTGCAGTGAAGTCCTGTAGATTTCTTTAAATGAATATTTGTTATTCAGTCAGATGATGATGATGTTTAACTGTATTTTTGTTTGTTTGTTTTCTTCTCAGGTAACGTCCATGTTTACAGGAATGGAAGAATGCATTTTGCACACCAGAATAGACAAGAAAGAAGAGAACAGCAGAGAGATGTAAGCTGGATTTGCTACACCTTAGTAACGCCTGGTTTAAATAATCGTATTCTTTGTCATTAAACGCCATCTCTTTTTCTCTATTAACAGGGCGGCTTTGCTCTGCTGGTCCAGCTCATGCCCATCTTAATTCTCATTGTTGTTTCTGCTCTCAGCCAGTTGATGGTCACGCAGCCTCCGTACAGCCTTAGCTATCGTCCGTAAGTGTGGTGGGGAGGGGGCTGGTGGTTACACCAAAAGTGTTTCAACATCTGTCTGACCTTCCCTGCTTTCTGTTTGTCAGATCAGCTGGACATATTCAAAAAAGGCAAACGTCACACCTAAAGGTGCCTTTCTACGTGGGGGACCGTTTCAATGAAGAATTTACAGGCAATAACCTGAAGACTGTTGAAAGAAGTGTAGAAGAAGACTATATCTCTAACCTAAGAAACAACTGCTGGAAGGAAAAGCAGCAGAGTAAGTCTTTTACAAAACTGGTGTGGATGGAATATGACTATATTGAAATACCAGGTCTGGACACTTGGTTTGTTGGACTGCTGACAGAGTATTGTACCTTTGACATGCTGTTCCGGTCTTTCAGAGGAAGGCTTGCTGTATCGTGCTCGTTACTTTGGGGACTCAGAGTTGTACCAACGGGCCCAGAGAATGGGGACCCCTAGCTGTTCCAGACTATCTGAGATTCAGGTCATACTGGATGGCTAGGAGAGACTTGCACACACATGGGTATGCTCACTCAGTTTTTTTTTTTTTTTCCTAAGAAATAGCTTGTAATATTAACCCACTTTCTTGTTAGTCAGAAGCTTTTTCTTCTTTGATTTGCCTTTTCTTATTTTATCCATTCACCATAATTAACTAAAACACCTCAGTCAGCTTTTTTTCTATTGTTAATGCTGCTGCAAGCAGGAACTGACTCCTGATACTGAAGGGTCAGCTCTGTTTTTCAGAGGAAAAACGTCACCTGATACGTCACTCTCATGGATCTTGAGCAAAGGTCACATCTTTGCAAAATGGTTGATTGTTGGGGATTTTTTTTTTTTGTTCTGGAAAACAGACTTCTGACTTAAGTAATAAGTTTACAAACCTATAAAACTTTAAAAGTAGCATCTTGTTATTTGAAGAATAAAACTCCAGATGTTTGCTTGTTAAAGCTGCCTCTAAATAAATAGAATATCATTGAAAATGAATTTGTCTTCCAGTACGACTAAAAAAGCTAAATTTATTTAGATTCTTTAAACACATATGTTGATCTATATATCAAGTATTTATTTCTGTTCGTTTTGATAATTGCCTTACAGCAAGAGAATTTTTTTTTAATTAAAACAAATAAAACTATTTTTATAGGCCTACATAATCATGGTAAAGACTGCTGCCTTGACCTTTGTCCATTGACACCCTCCACATGGAGTGCAAGCCTTTATAGGTCATTGCAGGGAGCTGACCCTTTAATATTGTCTCAAACATGTTCATAGAAAGCAGAGTGGAAGGAAAAAATGTGGTAGAAAAAAAGGCATTTTATTATTTATTTCTTTTGTAGCTGTTTTGCCTAACTGTGCCATTGCTGTTGTCACAAAATTCCAGATCAGTATTTTAAGGTAAATATCTAACTCTTTCTGGTGTCTCTGTCTTTATAGTTCGTCGGTACTTGAATCTACTGGGAAGAAATGAGTCTGAGCCCACTCTAATTGGAGCATATTTCTGCAGCAAACCAAGAGAATCTAACCAAGCCTTACACTCTGTGTGCAGAGGCGCCTCTAAAGGGGCCTCCCTGTCACTCCATCCACTTCCTGTAGAGCTGCGAGAAGCTTTGAGCTGCCTGCTGACATTTGCTTCTCCTCCTGTCTCAACCAGTGGTGAGAGTCCGATGGGCGTCATGGCGGAAATTGAGCGTGCTGTTATCTGTTTGAGTGATAAAGAAGGCTGCTGAGATTAGCTTCCTCTGTCCTGATCTTTTTATTTTTTATTTTTCCTGGAGAAACCTGAAGGCCTTTCTTCACTGATAAGACAGTCTGAGCCACTCTAGAGGAATAAAGTTTTTGTCATTTTTATAGTTCTTACCGATGTAAATACTCATTTTACTTAACAGTGCAGGGGATGGTAGTCATTTACAAAACTGTTTTGTGAATTTGCTTGTAGCCTGTTGGATCATAACTAGTAACAATTGTTGCACAAATAAAAGGAAAGCATATTTATTAAATTAACAACCTAAAATTCTATACATTTGTTTGAATAAAAGTTGTCCAATCATTGATTGGTGTCTCGTTTGTTTGTAAACTGAGACTTTTTAGTGGGTCTTCAGCATAATCTTAAAAGAGCTGTATTATGTAAAACAGACTTTTTTATTGTTACTTTATGTTATAATGTTATTCCCTCATCATAAACATTCCTGGAGTGTTGGCCTGACTCTTTCATCCATGTTTTGTTACCTGGATTACCTGAACGCTTGCTCTCACTGAGTTCCTCCCTCCACGCGTAGCTCGTAGTTGGAGCTGTGGTCTCACAGAGCATCATTTCCCCGCAACTCCACCTCCCCGTTTCTTAAGGCCAGCGCCGTCAGTAATTAGCGAACGCCTGGTGAAACTGCGCATCTGCTGAGCTCATCCTGCAAGCTACTTCCCAGTACGTTTCTCAGAACGTTGTTAAAGGCTTAATGGAGGAACTTTGGAGTCTCTGAAAGAACAGGAGCTTCTTAAAGAGACAAGATGTTAAATTACAAAGTGAAATTGTTTATAAGTCACCTTTGATTTTTGATTTTTTTTAATTAAGCTGAAGGTAAAAGTTATTTGATTGTTACATAAAATGGCACTGGACTTGTGAAATACATAATAGTCCTTTAAAATGTATCACTCACTTTGAAGGTTTTAAAAAATTGAAATTTTAAAACCTATTAAATTAGGTTGTAAATATACTTTTTTCATTCCTTGGTTGTCAGTCTTAAATATTTGGCATATAAAATTAAATCATTGTCATTTGAGGTTCTAAGACTTAACTTAAATTCACCATAGTATGATAGATTTATTTATATAAATGTAGATCATAATGTTCTTAGTCTCCCAAATGTAATCCTTGGGACACTAAGATGAAGACATAAATGTGGCCACTTATATCTTCGGTGTGACCAGAACTGCAAGGGCAGTTCTTACTTGTTTTCATTTATTTATTCAGTTTTTCAATAAATAAAAGTATTCTGCAAAGTAAATATAGGATACTAAGTGAGTTCTTAAATGTAAAATGTGCTTTAGTCTTGACATTTGCAGAAACCCTTTCAAAATTATGTACACTAAGTGCATTTTGAAGGCTGCTGATTATTCCACCTGAAGGAAAGGAACACAGGAGAGTAAGCATTGGAAATGACCCATAATGTAATGTAGTAAATCCTGAAATAAAATGATGTGAACAAAGAAATCAAATAAGCCTCAGAGTAATAGAAAATAGTTTATTCTCTCACAATCTTTTAAGGTAAAAAACAGTTTCAGGCTGGTAATATGTAAGATTCGTTGACACATTCCCTAAAAAAGTGGAAATCCACACAATCATATAAAAGAAAAAGGACTTGTGTTCAGACACCTGCAATCAGGTGAGTAGCTGCCATGAGATAGTTTGGTCCTTCGATTTACTACATATTACAATTGTTTAAGGACCTTGATGTCAGTGATGTCAGCACTTTAGTGCTCTTGAGTTAGCAGCATTCTTCAATCAGCAGCTCTCCAGAGCTGTACAGTTTCCTCTTGATGGCCCTGAAACTCCTGCTCAGCCTCAGGGTTTTGTGGTGCCTCGGAGACATTGCCGACGGAGGCTTTCCACCTTTGAAGAGTTTCTGCACCCTGGGCCACAGTCCTCCGGACTCGAGCCTCAGCACCAGGGTCACATGGAAGGTCGGGACCAGGCTGGCATCCACTGCTATTTGATCCACAGTGCACAACGAGCCCTGATCCCCCCTTTCCACACACAGGTCGATCATTGCCCCCCTCAGTCCGCAGGGCTCATTGACGGCCAGATGGAGCAGCTCTCGGCTGATGTTGTACATTAGATGGTCAGGTAGAATAAGTTTGGAGCAGCACAGGATGGGTGACGCATTGTTAAGGCTTTGTGTGATTGTGCCCACCACCTCTGCAGCCAAGGTCTCCTCGAGGGGGTAACAGAAGAAGCTGCAGTCGGACTCCGACATGGACAGGTCTGCCACAGATCCTGGGACAAAGAGAAAAATAGATTAGATCAAATTTATTTTTATTGAGCACCGAGGAGCAATTTGCTTTGAAATTAGATGCAGAATATACTAGAATGAATTTAAAAAAATAATTAAGATGCAAAAGGGTTTCATTTAGTTGCTTTTGTGTTTTTCCAGAAAGTAATAATAAAAACTAAACATGCTCACCGGTTTCACTCCTGCAGTACTGGTCTGCTGAGGGCCTCTGATTGAGCCTCTTCAGCTCAGTCAGCTTCTGCAGCAGGTTGCTCCAGGACAGCCTCTGGGCCCTCCGGCGCTCCGCTGGGGACGGAGGAAAACTGCCATCGAGAGACTGGTGGCAAGAAAAAGACATTTATAAAAGAAATGCCTTATTTCCAAAAGAACAAGAGGGGGCGGGGGGGAAGAAAGTGCTGCTCTTTGATTGCACACAAGAGCAAAAACAAAAAAAGAAAGAACGAAAGATGGTGGCTGTCACAGTTGGTCCTTCTCCTGCTCCTGAGTCCGATCAGCTGGAAAACAGGCTCTCTAACAAAGGGACAAAGCTTTAAATACCCACGCACGCTGGCCCCGTCCATCTGATTTCTGAGCCAATGAGGTTTTAGCTCACGTCCTCAGCGCAGTATCCTGCCTGGTTACCGTTGCTACCCCTTTGATGGGCTGAGATACCCTCCCCCACAAACCTCATCCTCATAAGTTCATAATGTCCACTTTATAGTTGGACATTCAGTGGAAAGCGAGTTTACAGACGCTGCCTGGTGCAGATCAGCACAGAGCAGAACTATTAAAACACGGCGGAACACGCAGCTGACGAACCAATTGTTGTGAATAGTTGAGCGAGGCACGTATTGCACGTAGAGCCCGTCTTTTTGTTAATGGACAGGAGGAGAGGCTCCGCCTTTCTGCTGGCAAACGTCAACCAGCTCAGTTGCACGTTTACAAACGGCTCTGAAGTAAAGCAGGAGCCTTTACTTCAGTCTTTATTTCAGTCTACAATAAAGACTGAAGCCACTGCAGGGACAGATTACTCCAGAATAATCCGGAAAGTACAAATCTTTCTTGAAAACCAGTAGGCTCTGCAGTCTTTGTGGCTACGTCATTAGTTTTTATTTTTGGTTAAAACAAAACATAAATGAAAACATGTCATCTCAGAGAGCTTTTCTAATCCAAACAACCAAAACTTTATGAGTAACTCCTCTGGCTCCTGTCATTTAGCACGTACTTCCATTCAACCCCCCAAGAAACTGAGACTCAGTCGCTTCTGTTTGGATAGTTCCCTCCTCCACCTGTTTACTTTACATGGGTTTCCCTTCTGCTTTCATGGGAATTGCTTGAAACTTTTCACACTTAATGCACTGCAGAAGAATGTGTTTGTTGCTGTAAAAATGTTTCTGCTCACTGATTTATTCCTTTCTTGCTCTTAATGTTGTTTCAGAGCGGCGAACAAGTGTCTTGTCTCAAGCCAAGACAAACTTAGAAAATACAACATTCTTTTTTTCTATTTTTTTTTTTATATATAGTAGTTAAAAAAAATAACATGGTCCTCCTTTTTTCTGATCAGCCAGAAATTTAGGTAGGCCTCCAGCTCCTGAGATGCTCACCATTGTTTCAATGTTTCATCCATAACAGCTCTCAATGTGGTTCTTTGGAGCCCTAAAGTCTTAAAACAGGATCCAAAGTGTGGCCCGGGGGCCATTTGTGGCCCCTGGATTGATTTCTTTAAACTCCGACTGCAATTCAAAAATGATGCAAAGCTTGTCTTCCAGTACATGGGGTTGATGCAGTTAAGATTTTTTGGTAACACTTTATTTGACAGGGTGTGCATAAAGACATGACACTGTCATAAACATGATATGACACCTGTTATGAACGTGAAGGAATCTTTATGAAAGTCTACGACATGAAGTGTGATTCGGTAAATAATGACGCTTCTAATGCAAAGTTGCTCTAAAAGTTGCATTGAAAGTCCATAAAAAGTGCCAACATAGCACTAAAGTATCATTGTTTACAAAATAATGCAAAGTTGGCACTTTTAATGAAATTTGAATGCAACGTTTAAAGCAACTTTGCATTAAAAGTGTCATTATTTACAGAATCACAGTCATAGATGTTCATGAAAACTGATATGTTTTCATGAAGACTAAAGCACATTTTACATTCATGTCATGTGTTATGTCGATGTTTATGACAGTGTCATGTCAGTCTTATGCACACCCTGTCAAATAAAGTGTTACCATTTTTTTTTTTAATTATGGCAAAATATTATATACAAATGTAAATGTTCTTTAAAAATTTAAAGAAGGGGTATTATGCAAAATGTACTTTTTGGAGCTTCATATCACGTTATAACAATTTTCCCTTATCAAAAACATACTGGGGCTGTTGCCTTGGTTCTTAGATGCATATCTGAGGAATCTCCTGTGGTAGCCATTCGGGGTGTCTAAACATTTGCTCATGCAAATCACAAAAGCTTTATTTGATTAAATTAAAAAAAATACAAATGTTTTTCTTTTCTTTGACAATTTTGGACCACATAAGAAGCATGGACACTCCTGCCCTGAGGGGATTTCAACAAATCTATTCAAATCCGGACTGAAAGGTCTTTTTACCTGTCAGCTCTTTATGGAAGGAAAGATACAGCGAAGGGAGCTGACATCAATCCGCTGGCTTTTTTTTTTTTGTCTAAGTTGTTCAGCAAAATACTCACACAGCCCTTGTATTAGCTTTTGAAAGGAAAAACTGAATGGTATCAAACACCACCAATGTGCTCAATCTTATTTTCTCTAATAAGTTGTCAAACGTCTCCGCTTTTCATCTCCTTCCATGATGTTGGTGTGATTTTTGACAAGCAGCATTAGTGGAGGTGAACTCTGGCTGGTTTGGTGATTTATATTTAGGGTCCCTCCTGGATTAAAGAAAGTTATGGTGAGTTTCAGGAAGTTTCTTCTGTAAATAATGTAAAATCGTCTTATTACTGCTTCGGCCAATGACCGAAGCAGTAATGTGCTTTTCTTAGCAGGAGAAAAATGCAGATAGAATTTATTCCACATCCACATCTTAAAAAAAAAGATTGCTAAAACCTACGCGGTGCAAACACCACACAAATCAAACGTTTAAAAGAAAAATAACACCAGAACCCATATGTGTACAAATCACTTGTTTCTTTTTTTATCTTGAATTTTAGAGATTTATATTAGATTTATCATTCTATAATCTCTCATTCTCAGAAGCAACAATCTTGTGAATTAATATACATTAAACACGGCGGAAGGGAAATAAAAACACTTGTGTTTTAAAAACCAGCTTTCTTAAATATCTTAGATGGGATGGGTGAAGTGGCAAATTTACCACAAGGTGGCGATGGAGTGCTTGCTGATTACGTTTGAAGCACCTTGTTGTTTTGTTTTGAGTAGCTGAGGTCATGATCAGGTTTATCATCCAATTTATATGTTTAATTAAGGTCAGACCTTGTTACCAGTTTACATTTCTTATCTTTGTTTACCTTCATTCTGTTATGAGAAAAAAAAATGTAAACGTGAAAAGGGAGAGACTGTTTTACAATTCATATCAGCCTTGGAGAGCTGTTGGTCTGGGCAGCCTGAGCTGATGTAATTTATGTTGCTCTGGATCTCCAGCTAAATGGCTATGCATAAAGACAATTTCTACTAAGCAGTTATTTACTCAAACCTGAACTTAACAAAGAAATAAATGCAAGTTTTGCACCATATGTCGGCTTATTTTTCCACCTTTGTACAAAAAAGCCAACATTAATTCAGATTTCAGTGCTTTTTATGTTTTTTGATGGTTGTGAGTAGAGCAATGACATGGTTCTGTAGTAATGAGGGGATCATTCCAACAAAGATGACAGGGAAGCTTTCTGTCTCCTTGCCAAAATACCTCATCTTGTAAGCATGTCATTTCTTTGTTATATGATTCTCCTGTTTGTCATCGGATCCTTCAACGCTGGATTCAAGACTCTCCGTAGCTTTATGAGTCTGCATCACCCGGAGATGCAGCTCGAACAGAATTACATGTAGGTTTTGATTTATTGCTGGAGGAAGCAGAAAGAGAGCAGCTCTCTCAGGGGAGGCCAAACTCTGATGTTTGGCAATTTTTGCTGAGGTATGCTCCTCTTTATCAGAGCCCTTCCATTTTTGCATGCCATTTTCAAACGGGCTTCACTCCAGATATTAGCCCATTTCTAGATTAATATTCTCTTTTTCCTATGTCACTATATTTTTAAAAATATAAGCTCAAACATAAAGGTTTTCACAATACTATAACAATCTTATAGTGAAAGTAACAACACAATGTTACCACCTTAAGTTTTGCCTTTTTCATTGCTTCCACAAATAAGTCAAACAAAATTATCGAAAAAAAAAGACCTTTTATGTTAAAGTACAAAAGTTCTGCAAAGCCATGACCCTTAAATAAAAACATTTGAGTCCAGTGACTGTTGTGGTACAAAGACAAGTAATAGCGTGAAGACAGAAGAACGCCGCAGGCAAATCAGAGGAAACATGGTTGAGTAGCTTAAATTAAGGGATGGATACAAAAGATCTCCAAGGCACTGAACGTGGAATTTAGTTAAATCATCATAAAGAAATGGAAGCAATATGGCACAGGTGAAAATCCGCTTAGATTAGGCCGTCCTCACAAACTTGGGGGCAGTGCAAGAAAGAGACCGGCGAGCGAGGCCACGGGGACACCGATGACTTCACTGAAGGAGTTACAAGCTTCAGTTACTTCACAAGGCATTTTCTACCAGTGTAACGTCAAAATCCCAGAGGAGATGGATTCGTAGTATTTGTACTGCCATTTCTCTGAACAAGTTTCATTAATAATACAAGCCAAAATGCTGATGGCACATTGGCTAGAGTAAGAGTCCTGATATACCCTCTGTTGGGTAACTAAACATCACTACATAGAAAAGGAATCCTATAATAATTACAAGGTATTCACATATCTGTCTGTCCTTAAGTGAACTACTTTCTCCCAGTTTAGAAATATTTGCATTATTCAGTATTGGTGCAATGGTTTAGAGCTTCTCAGGACTTAGTTGGCTGCTTTTTCCTCCCATTCTCTTTAGCAGCCCTGTGCAAATGTTGCAAAAACCAACACAGCATAAATTCATACTATTTATGTGTCTATGTCAAATCAATTTAGAACATCTACTTATACTGATAGGAGTTAAAATTGGTAAGTATCTGGTGAGAAACACTTACCTAATTCTAGTTCTTTGACAAACTAGACTTTAATTAATCTGACTTTGTTGGGTTTTCAAAAACTTTAAGAGGAACATTTCTCTCATATTTATATGATTTCTATGCCAACTTTTCAGGGTAAAGGAGGTGAGGATCCAAGTTTGCTCCTTCACGTCTGTCACCTCGAGTTTGACTGGAAGCATCAGTAACGTATTGCTTGGATATGAACCTCCCAGCAAACAGGCGGAAAAAAAATGAGCTAGCTTTATGTTACTCTTTCTCTGTCAAAACACCACAGAACCCAAAGTATCAGCCTGTTCCCCCGAGAAAAAAGGAGAAAACAATATGGTTTATTTTCCAGCTGTGTCTGAGAGAGGCTCCCAGTGAAATGATAGAAAACACAGTCTGTCAGGGGTTGCACAGAAAAAGTACGTCCTCTTGCATTGCAGGACTACAAAGACATGCAACGTAGATGGAAAGCAAACAGAGGATTTTCGCAAAATAGTCTCACTGGACTCAGACAATCAGACCTCCTGGGAAACATTTAGCTTGGTGACGGTTTGGTGAACTGACTGATGATGGGGTCAGGATGGTCAGTCACTTCTCTCTAATTTCCTTCTGGAAATCAGAGCCACTCCCAGCACAATACCAGGTATAAAAACTCTTCTCGTCCCTTCAACGACCAATCCTCAAGAAGAAGAAGACAATTTTCATAAAATACCCCAGAAATGTCTCAACAGCTCTTACAGAAATAGTACTTAGGAAAAATCATTCAAACATAAAACCTACCACTGCAGTAATAGTTGACTGTTACTGTATGAAGATTAAAAATCATTGCAGGTTCACAAGATTAGCTGAAAAAATTTAAAATATGTGACACAATTAATATAAATAGATGAACCTACAGAAAGTCTTAGAATAATTTCCCTCTGAAGAGATAAGAACTATTGTGGTGCAGAAAGTGGAAAACGAGAGATAACACGCTAATGCCTTGTTTCCACGGCAATATGGCAATTTTGCCGACCTCTGGTTCGGCGCAGGTCAGCAAAATAGCTTCCCGAACTGCACTGACTTGTGCCGTACCACTCAGTGGAAACGAGGCATATGTGTGACTAGAGGAGAACTTGGGTGATGAACTGTGGCACATTTTGAGAGACTGGGATAAAACACCTGAACTATCAGTGGTAAAGACGTCACACTCAGTTCTGTTAACCAAGCTGCAGCCAGTTAGTCAAACCAAATCTGCACTGCAACACTTGTAGAGATTTCTTTGTTTTGTTCGACATTACATAAAAACCACTCCTGGGTCTGATCCTTTAAAATTACAGCGTTTATAATGACACTTTTTGAATGTCATGAGAATTGTTGCTGCGCTGTGTTGTTTCTTTTTTGTTGCGAAAGCATAACCAGACTACTACTTCATTCAACCCCCAAAAGTTTTTCTTTGACTGATTATTTTTAAATAAAATCTCTGGGAGCAAAGCAGGTTGCAGCTGCTGCAGAGATAGTCTTAAATAGGTCAGCGGAAGACCACACGTTGAATTCGTTTCTAGAAAGGCAAAGCATAACTGCATCATGGTTTCTTATCCAATGTGAATATTTCATTTCCCACCTGACCATTTAACATGACTAATGAGCAAACACGTGTAAGACTTTTACATCTGTGCACAAAGACAAGCCAGAAGGTGATCTTGTCATTGTTGCTATTGCTGAATAAACATATACATACTTAGCTCAAGCATCTTCTCGTCTCCTTATCTTTCCTCGAACTTGATCGGGTTGAGCCAAAAGATTAGATGAGCCCTTGTTGGGCGCTTGCCCTCATTAGGACAGGCTCAAGACACTCCACCGGGGATCAAATGGCATCAGTTAATCCGGCGCTTTAGTAACAAGCTGTCGTTTGGTGGGGCTCTCCATGGATGAACATAGAGCCAGCTAACATGGTGCAGTGAGACCCATGGTGCAAGAAATCAAAAGAATGCATCGGCCCAAAGGCGTGAACCACAGTTTGAAAACAAAATTTTCTGGTGTTGATGGTCAACTTCAAGTGGGCAAGTGTGAAACCTCATCCAGACTCTGGTGATGCAGACCAAACAAGCTGTTACTCATCCACCTGAAAAACTAAGTCTCAGCTCAATTGACAACAAACACCTCAGCTGTTCGCTTCAAAAGGAAATGCAGAGCAAACCCTGGAAGAGATGCGGACATGACATGTGAACTAAAAACGTTTAAACCTCGGATGTCTTGTAGTTTCTCCGTCTTTGCTGTCATCTCTGTAACTACTTATACAACCCATCTCCATAGAGTAATGTGCCTCTCTTGCTGCTCATACCAACCAGTTACTTGTGACAGCACCTCATAGGAGCAACTGGATGACATCCAGTTTGATTCAATGTGAAAATAAACCCAACCAAGTGAAGACGGGAGGTCTTTCGACAGTCCTCGCCTAATTCTGCCTGAGTTCCCCAGACTATCTTAGTTTGAAAACATCCCAAGACTAATAAAACCCAAAGAACATGTCAGGGACTTTAAAAAAAAAACAGAGGGAATTTAGAGCTATCACAATCATATTAATTTGTAGAAATGGCCCAGTCAAAGTTTAGACCTAAATCCAATTAAGAATAAGAATAGCACTGTGCTCTCCATCCTGTCTGAATGAGCTTCAGTAAGTTTGGAAAGATGTGTGGGAATTCTTTGGTTTTCGCTGCAAGCAAATAGCTACAACACGTTTTGGGGTTTTCTTTTTGTAAAAAAAAAAAAAAAAAAAGCCAAATAAAAACGTGTATATAAGTCCAGCTATTGACCAGCTTGTGGCTCTTAAAGAAAGTCCGCACAAACCTAAAGTTTTCTTTCACGTCGAGAAATAACGAAAAGGGCGTCTCTGACAGCAGCCTGAGGGCGGACTCACTTTATTCACCACCATCAGAGCAGCTTCCCCTCCTCACTCCGTCCGCCTGCCTCCCATCTGCAGCAGCATCTCTCGGGCTCATCAGGCGGCGCTTCCCCTCCAGCCTCAGCATCCGCCGCCTTCCCGAAGAGGAGCGCCGACAGACGCCGTTGCTTCGTGCGAGGAGGTGTCCTGCGTGCGTGTTTTTTTTTTTTTTTTTTTTTATTCCCCCCCCCACACACACACACACACTCACACACCCTTTTTCCCTCCCACTTCTCCGGTTAAACATGGTGGAAATGTCGGGTATGGTGTGCCTTCTCGCCCCGCTGCTGATGTTCGCGGGGTCCACCTTGCAGGCGGACGTGAGGAGCGTCCGAGACGCGGAGAAATCCGGGAATTTCATGGAAGACGAGCAGTGGCTGTCCACCATTTCACAGTACAGCCGCAAGATCAAGCACTGGAACCGCTTCCGAGACGTAAGTGTCGAGTGAATGCGGTGTGGATGATGCGCTGCCATGTTTACTCCCGTCTTTTCACGCAAACTTGGCTCTTTCTGCAGTTTTGCAGCCAGACACACTCCAGGAACACGAATGAACGACTGTTGAAGAGTTTGGTTCAGCTGCTGGCATTTTGATTTCTGGTTGTCTTGCTTGTTTGGAAGGGACATGTTTTGAGAGAGGAGTATTTATAGATTTTTAAAAAAATCCCAGGAAAAATCTGGGTAGTCAAAGTTGGATGTTGTCAGAAAACCTATGAAATATTATAAACACACATCATCCTCTCACTTCCTGCAATGTTTTTGTGTTTGTTTGTTTCTAATAATAGGCAATTAAGTTGTATCTGCCTGGCAGTGTGGGCCCAAATCATCATACTGCCTCCTCCCAGTTAAAGGTTCCCCCTCAGATGTGGCTCCAGGGATTTCACAAACAAGATCATTTAACAATTAAGACATAGTGCACCTGACTGATGGGTTGACATGCACACATGCAGTTATTGAACGGACTGATCTGGGTTACTGGAATTGATTAAAGCCTGCAGGCTACGCCTGGTGATAAATCACTGTGTCTGTGGACGTATGGATGCACCTCCGCTTCCAGCTCTGCGAAATGATTACTAATGATCCCCAGCAGGATCTGGACAGTATGTTGCAGCTGGATTAGGTTGCATATGGCCAATGTTAATTTGGTTTTAATTGATCCTGAGAGACTGCATGCTGCACGTGAAATGTGTTATTATTGGATTAGATATAGAAGTAGCAGAGAGTGTGTGAGGGAAATGCCTAGGCGTCTTTTTATGCCAGCAAGATTGTAGTGTCAGTTTAGGAAAAAAACCTCCTGGAAACCAAGACCTGAAACAAAGAGAGAGGTTTAGATTCACTGTAATTACCTAAAGATTAACACATGTCCTCTGGGACTACGAGAAAGCAATGAAATTGTGGACATGGGGGAGATTAAATTGGAATTACAGTGGGATTATGACTCATTGGGTGCCGATCTATATTTAAACAGTTTTGATCTGAAATGTTTGGCTCACCTGCAATGACCTTCTGAAGTCAGCACAGCTTGGTTGGTGATTCAAAGAGAAAAACAGCTATGGGCCAATTGAAAGGCAATCACAACTGGAGCATGTTCACATTTTATAGAATTATTTATAGGAAACAAAGACGGTGCAGCACCAATAATCTTCCTGCATGAAACATTTAAGGACAAAAGAACATGTAAGATGTTTCCAGTCAGATTAACTACCTAATTTGCAACAGAATCTTGTCGCACTTGATTTCGCAACATAAAACGCCGCTTTATTCTTACGCTTAAAGAGGAGCGCCTCTGACATCAGACGTCATTTGTCTCTTCCTGAAATGAGGAAGGTAAGCTGTTATTATCAGATTCAGTTATTTGTTAGAAAAAGGAAACATTGCTACAAGATGAGATAAGAAGAGTTAGTAAATACTATGAGAGTGTCACAACTTGCTGGTTATCTAATTTACAAAAAAGAAGGCAGTGTAAGAATAAATAAAATAATTTACTTAGACCACAGAAATGTTTACCTTTCTCTTTATATCAGGCAGCAATTCTGAAAGGAAACACTTCTTTTCTTCAGACATGTTTCAGACAGGACCCATACTGGCAGTGCACAGCCTCCTCCCTCCATTAGCTGTGCAAGTATCAGTGTCTGTGTAAATAACGGTCCAGTGAAAACATGGCAATGGTTTAAAGGGTCTTAAAATAGCTTCTGTATAAACCGAGATCGAGGCTGTTTTAAGACAGCAGACTGTTTTAAGGGGTTAGCTTCAGATCCCTTGCCCAACTAATCTGGGTTTATACTAAGCAAAGAAATCAGACCAGTTATCTACTGCAGGTATGACATTAACCACTTATAAGGTTTAACTGAGCCTCTAAAACCAAATTTAACCCTTTAAAAATGTTCCTTTCACCACAAAGATGTCACCTGCTCTGCTTCCACCTGTGTCTTCAGTTTCTCAACACAAGCAACCCTGACAGCCATCACTTTCACGACCGGCACACTTTCAACGCATGCATTCAGATGCTTACGGATATGTGATCACCGTTAATAGTTATGCAAGCGTATAAACAGGATTTTGAGGCCTGTGCAGTAAAGAGTGGTGGCGTCTCTGGTGATCATAAAGATAACAGGGGAAAACATCAGAGAAGCGAGGCGCTAAACCTCCCGCGGGAATTGCGGATGGAAACCACTTTGATTTCAGCTGGCTGCTGTAGCAACAGCTTCCCCTGCACTGAGATGGAGGATAGATCCCTGGGAGTTTGATGACTCTATCCCCTTAACCAGCCTCGCTTCAGGGAGAGAAAGAAGAAAAAAAAAACACCATTTTGGTTAAGTTTCTTCAAATCATTAAAACTGCGAACTTCCGCTGCTGAAATAACACCGCTTGTATCATTATTCTTAATGAGCAGTGCCTTGCAGTAAATGTAATGAACCTTTAATTGGCTGTGCTTCATCTTGGCCTTTGAGCGAAAAAAAAAAAAAAAAGATAAAGAATCAGAAAATAACTAGTTTAAGCTCATGGATGTGTGTTGATGTGCAAATTACTGCCAATGACACAAATATAATGAAATAAATTGATGCTGATGCGCATATTCCTCTGAGATATTAAGAGCCGGAATATTACAGATCCAAGTCGAGGAAGCAGAAATCAAAAGCCACACAACAAGAGGAGCTCTGCCACGCCGTCCTTTCACATGTATGCACTCAGATAAACACAAACACACAGCACCGGCTGCAGACTGTGTGCAGAGCGCACTGTAAATATTTCATATTTATTCTTCCGCGGGATGTAAAAGCAGAATCGGGATAAGAGGCTCTTTCTCTTCAAGTAAAAAACAGCTCCCACGCTCCGATGCAATTTATTTCACAGGAAGACAAGGCGATTAAATTTAACTGTAGCAGTCAACAAATAATAAAGGGGGATACCTTCAATCCTTTAATCTGACAGGTGCACTCAACATTTCATTCCGCTAATGCACTAAATCCTGAGGGGAAAAAAAGAAAAGATAAAGCGGGCAACAGGAAAGACGGCTGTGGGAAATGAATGCAGATCCACGACTTTATTTTATACACAAAAACATCATTAGTGTCAGTTCGAATTTAAATAACAGTAACAGTGATGTATGGTCATTGCACGCCTGGAACCAAATGCTGTTTTATTTATTTACTGATAATGGCCACAAATTGTGTTTTTCTGTGACACTCGGCGCAGTTTTCCTGTGCAGTGCATTGAGGCTGTGAGATTTCCTTTTAGTCTTTCTAAATTAGAAGTGAGTTCTCTCAGGGCAAGTCCCACAGTAAGCTTGAAAGATGACAAACTTTAAAATTCTTCTTTTTCTTTGATAACAAACCTTCACTGTGTTATATATCGTATACATACACATATGTGAAATAGGCCAATTTCTCGATGCTTATAAAATATAAAAATAGTAATTTTAAATTAAAAACATGTAATATTTGCAACTAACAAATCACACCAAATTTTCTTATTTTTCCATAAACTTTAAAGAAATAATTGACAGAAAAATGAAGGAACAAATGCAAAGGGAGATTCAAACAGAATTGAGGGGCATCAAAACCATATGCTGCCTCACCTTGTTTAGTTCTGGTCCTGGGAATACTGGACCAGAACTGAGGGCTCGTCATGGTCCATACCCGAGAAGCAACTCAGAAATATTTTTAAGCACATGTCGGCTCAGTACCTTAAAGGCCGATGACCTGCTTTTCAACATTTATCAAACAGGAAGCCAGCAAACATTTCAGGGCTGGTGACGTGATCCATTTTCTGGTGTCTGTTCTCTCTGACAGAAACATTTTGGATGACCTGCAAATGCCTCATAAATTATCATACAAGGAGCGTTACAGACAGCATTACGGTAAAATTGAGTACACTGAAGACAGGTCGCCGTTTTTACCGTAATAATTCCCCGGATCTAAGATTAAACTACAAATCGAGTGCAAGCAAAAGAACGCTCATTATGCGCGACATGCTAGATTGTTCAGGTCATCTTTACTTTCACACATCTCACATGCTAGCACAGAGTCAAACAAAAGGGTTTGGTGTCACCTGGGTGTGTTTGTTAAATCCTTATCCTGAAAAGGCACACCCCAGCAGTCAGGCGGCGGGGAAGCATCCAGCACCGAGCCGTACTGCACCTGTCCTCCATTCAGGTTTGTTGTTAATGAGCAGTAAATCCTTTGTGCCTGAAAACAAAGACATCAGACCCGTCATCAGTGTCAGTGTGCAAAGAGGTGGCAGTCGCTGAAGCTTTTAACAGTTATGAATAAAATGTGATATTTGTTTGGTTTACATTTCGCTACCTTTTTTTCTGTTTTTACCTTTACAGTGTTTTTTTTTCTCTTCTTGCCTATCATTTGCATTTACTGGCATTAGGACTTCATAAATCTATGCATTTATGTTCATCACAGTGTTTCATCATTACACCACAGTGTGCAAAGCATAATTGTGGCTAATGGCATCTGTAGCAACAGAGCCAAGTACTCCATTAAAGACAAACTCTAGTAGCAGTAAATTATCAGCAATGGAACCCAGTCTGGCTGAGCCACCCAGTATTCCCCGATGTTCAACCAGACTCCCTCAGATGCATTAATAACATGGGTGAAACCCATTAAGTCTTCCTAGCCATGTTTTTGCCCTGGCCATGAGTCACTCCTTATCATATTCTAGGTTCTTATTTCGGCCTCGAACATCCAGAAACTCTGCAGCAAAGGCAGATGGACTGCATCATAATCGTGTCCGACTGTTCGGGCATGGGTCCGGGTCCGTTCAGCACTGTTCAGGGCTTGAAATGACTAGCGGTGGCTCTGTGGGGTGTCTTGGCTGGGTAGGAGGGGTGTAGCAGGGCTGTGATTGCATTGAAGACCAAAGAGACGCAGTCTTTCATTAGGAGTTAAAACACAGCTGAAGGCACAGCCGTTGTAAAGACAGGCC